GGTCATAACAATAACTATATCTTTATGCATGGATCTTAGAAAAGCTCTGCAGCTTGATACACACAGCTTACGGTCGGCATCGAAAAAGAAAATATCATTTTTGTTTATCTTTTGTTTTGATCTTTTTGGACTGAGATCAACCATACACATCTCTTTCCATGTGTGCACATGTTACAGCAGCTTAGAAAATGGGGTTTGAATTATATATCAATTTATTGGTACATGCCAAAACGAGTGTGTGACAACTTAGCGTCTTCAATGTTTCATAGGAAAAAAACAAATATTCGTACTTTTGATTCTCACTGATAAATGTATATACGCATATATATGTGATCAACGAAAATAGTTGAAACCGCGTCTTGAGAATTTATCTATTTAATGTCTCTGTCCAGGGATGAACATTTTGATTGATACTTCACTTGGCATAATTTGTTTCTCAGACAAAAGCATTATTGTTGCACGCTAAGGTTTTTGAAGTTATTTATGTCAATATTCTTAAAGCAAATACTATTTAGCTGGTATTCTAAAAGCATTGATTAGAGAATTAAAAATAAAAAACTATTTGAAAACAATTGACAACAAAAACTATGCTTGCAGTCCAAGACACCAAGTACTTGACCGATTCATCTTGATCAAGATACCACGTAAAACACATTATTATTTCTTTGTTAATCTAAGAAAAAATTTTGTAGTCAAGAGTATTCTGATTAATGGAGATTCACATTATTTAATGTTCACTGCTATTGCTCTCATAAAAAGATACTGAAAATTCTATACGTTCAGTGTAAGGAGATGATGGGTATTTAACTATTTATAAAGATATTTTAATATTTGATTTGATGTTTATTTAAAACAAGTGGGTATTTGATGTATCCCTTGATTTTGGAGTAAGTGTGTATCCATCAGAATGGCAAGAAGATATTATATAATTTGACAAGAGATTGTTTCTATAAGTGATGGATTGGTTTTTCAAATTAAGTTATGAGTTTAACTATTTAATAAATCTTACTTAAATTATCTTTTTGATGAAATTCTAACACAAGTATACTAAATTTAAATGATATAATATTTTTAACATTATAAAATTATATTTTATAGATAAATATGTTTTTTTTTAATAAAAATTCGTAGTTATTTCTATAATAACTTCATTATAGGATATAATATATGATGCACACTATATTCTCTTAGATATTCAATAATTTTAAAATAAAAAAACTTATAAATTTAAAACTGTGTAATATTATCCTTAACTGATGAGCTTTAAACATGATATGATAGATACCAAACAGCTCTTATTGCATTTGGTGAAATTAATTTTCTTTTATAATAATTACACACCGTTTAATTAGACTCATACAGAAGACGAACGGTGACGGTTTCAACAAGGAGGATCTACGTTTCTCCCTTTCGAATATTCCTCAGTATTCCCACGTTTACAAATATTATAATACTACTTTTTATTTATTTTTATAGGGATAAAATTATTCTAATACTAACAACTGTTGCATTAAGTTAAAATATTTATATTATATATTTATTTTTAATTCAATTATTAATTATTGATAAGAAATATTTTACTATATTAAATAAGATTACATTAAGGAAAAAGAAATTTTAAAATTATAAAACCAATCATGAAATATTGAGTTAAAAAATTATTTAACATAGTTGAAGTCACATGAGATAATAAAAAATTATTTTAAAAATATTATTATTTAAGACAATTCATAAAAGTCATCTTGTTTAATATTTATTTTTTTTATTCTGAATTGAAACCTTTTCAAGCTTTTTAATCTCTTGAACTAAAAGGACAACAAATTAAATATGCGTATAAATGATAAATTAAAAATTTATTTAGAATATTATTTAATTATTATTCTATTTTGATTCCATCTTACGTCACGCGTACGAGGTACCTGGGATTGGTTTTTGAATAATTACTTGGTGAACAAACTTAAAACACTTGCAATGTCCGATTTTCATCACAAAAGATCTTATGTATATATATATATATATAGCTATAAGTATATTATATACGAGTCAGTTAAAATAAAATATTTATATTATGTAATAAATTTAACCATCAATTTAAATTTTTCATTAAATAAATTAATTTTATATAAATAATTCATCATATTGTTTTATTTTAGAGTATTATATTTTTAAAATGTAAGTAAATATTACATTTTTTATATATTTATCAATATTATATAAAATAATTTAAATGTGAGATTTATCAATTTTATCTAAAGTTAACACCTGTATTAATTATATATATATATATATATATATATATATATATATATATATATATATAAAACTCTAACAATACTCCGTGAATCTCGTTTATAATTGTAATAAAACAAATTGTCCATTTGCATTCTTACAACGAAGAAAATTAGAGTAACGTTATCTTCTTATAGGATACGAAGTCAACAAGTAATTTGTTCTTTTTTATATTCTTTGCCTTCTCTAAAATTAGTGCTTATTTTTTTAAAAAAAGAAAGTTAACTGTTAATAAAAATCAAGGATTAATATTACATATAGTATACAGTGGATTATGATTCCATTGAAATCTATTTCTTATATTTTCAATTGATGATTAAGATACTTTTTTAAAGTAAATACTTACTTTTAAAATTATAATCATTAGTCAATTTAGTTTTTACCCTTACACAAAATTTATTTTAATTATAAATTGAGATTATTTTAATGTGAAATAAAAAAATTAAACTATTTAAAAATTCCGACTTTAAAAAATAAATAATTAAAAAATGTTTTTATAAAATAAATAATAAAAATAAGTATTTATTTTATATAGAAAAGTCAAATTTATTTATTGTAACGGCGTCGCGGGATTCTGTTGGTGAAAGCGAGAAAATGATGAGAGGCAACGTAACCAAGTCTTACCAGGCAGCAGAACTTGTGGGCCCCACGTTCCTTCCTTGAAGCTTCTTCTGTAAGTTAACGAAGGTGCTTCTGGTTCCGTTTAGAGAGAGAGAGAGAGAGAGAGAGAGAGGCATGAACGGAACGGGTCCTTCGACGGAGGTGGAACCCACCATGAAATTGTTTATGTAGTTTTCTCTGCATGAGTAAATAATTTATTCTTAAAATCTGTTATTTTGTATTTTTTTTATTTCGTATGACATTTTATTTTTTTTATATGTTTTTTTTATTGAAAACAGTCTTGTTTAAGTTAAATTGACTAATGATAATTTTTTAAAATATTTAACAAAACTAAATTTTTAATGCAACAATTTTGTTCAAATTAAATATGATTATTATGAATAATGTTTTTTTAATATTTAATACAATTATAGTTTTAATAATTTAAATTTCAAATTATAAATTAATTAAAATGACTTTACGACAGTGAGTGATATTAATATTTACTCCTTGCAACTCTCCATTCTCACCTTGTTTACTTCATATATATAAATTCGTGCTGCTAAAATGTCCAAGATATTTTCTAGTTACAATAATTAATGTGATTTGTTTTCCTGTGTGCTAGGAATATATAAATAAAATAAATTATAATAAATTAATAATTAGTTTTAGAATTTTCATAACTTATAATTTAGTTTTAATTAATTTTAGTAAGTTGTATGATTATTCATGAAATTACAAAACTTGTTTTAATTATATTACCTCACTTTTAATCGTAAAAAATTGTTTGATAACAAGTCTATAAAAATATTAATTTATAAAAAATATAATTTAAGAACACGAATATATGAAACTTGAGATGAAAAATAACATGTCAATATTTTAAAAGAATTTAAGACAAAAGTTGAAAGAAGGAAAAATATCTTCATAAAAAATGAATTTTAAATTTATTTAACGAATGATTTTTGTTTTTGTAAATGTAAAAAAAGTGGTAAATAATAGCATAAGTACATGTTATTAAGAGAAATAAAATGTATAATAAAAATTGTTTTTAAATGAGAATTTATGTTTATAATATAAGAATAGATGATAATTTATTTACTTTGACACAAAATCAAGATTTTAGTCAAAATATAATGAAAATGGACAAATAATGCTCAGAAAAGTATAATTTTTTAACTTTTTAAAGTAATTGTATTGTTGATTATTGACATGAGACAAATAAATTTTAAAAAATACACACACAATTATTTTTCAAAAATAATTTTATTTCACCATTTTTCATAACAAGATCAAATCTTCTAAACTATATTTTGAAAACATTTTTTCTAAATATAAATTATTTTTTCTAAAATTAATTATTTTAAAATCATATATAGTGAAATTTAAAACAAACGAATTCTAATTCTAAAAATCAAGTTATTAATTTATTCTTTTAGCAAACAATATAACATTTACAATTTAAGAACCATCTACCAATGCTGCTACTTCCGTAATTTTTGTTCAAATTACAAAATCTTCAATAAAATGTTTTTGAGATTGCTTATTTCATATAAATGCATTTTAATTCATAAATTAAATTAATCTTTGAAACCTTTTTAGTAGGTTTTAAAAAATCATTACCAAATGACATACTAAATATTTATAAATATAAAAGTTTGCTAGACAATAACTACACTTTCCTGGTTTTTTATACATATAAAAAATATATTTTAAAGCATAAATTTAAAAGGTTAAATTAATAATTATAATTATTTTTTATCTAAAAAATTAAGAAATATTTTCTACGTCTCTTATTATCCGTTACTATTTAATATATTATTTTACGTATAAAAGATATAAAATATCATCCAAAAATTATAAAAAAAAAATCATAACTCTTGTTTTTTTTATATATTTTAATTAAAATATAATAATTTATATTTTATAATATCATTTGATTATAAATTATTTTAAAATTATTAGTTTTAAAAAAAATATTAAGTATAATTTAAAACTAATTAATTGCTCACTTAAACTCCATAAAAAATAAAATCTTCTTCCTCAAAATAATTATTTTCATCTTTTGTGTAACCACGTCATTCCTCATGACAAAGTTTTATACTCACCCAGATAACACTGTTGCTTAAAGTCAACGATCAACGTTTCTGTGTATTTCTCTCTCTTTTCTTGCAATTTTGTTTTTGTTTATTAATAGGTTATAATGATTGAAGCTTAAGACAAGGTTGCTCTTTTCATGGGACTAACCGCAAACTCTCAACCACACCCCCAAAGGCTTCTTCTGATTGCTTGGTTTCCCATCTTTCTGTCAAAGTTTTGTTTATGGAGATGCACACTCTCTCTTTGTGTGTGAATCTGCGAAGTGTGTTGGGGATGGAGACAGTTGATTAAGGTTAAGTTTAAGGTTTTTTTTTGGGTATTTTTCGGTGTTCGAGGGAAGAGTTTTCTTGAGCATCCTATTTGCAAATTGCAGATGTAGAAAAAATTTACATCTTTTGTTGGGTTTTGAGTTCCAGAGAAAGAATTTTTGGTGGGGTTGAGAGATTTTGATGATTAAGGTTCTGGGTTTGATAGTAGTGGAGATGGGGTTGTTGTTGTAAGTTTATTACTATGTAGAGACAATTACCAATTGTTGAGAGAGAAAGTTGAGATTTTTTCGGCGGAGAGAGAGAGAGAGAGTTGAATTCTTTGTTTTTTGTTGGGTGATTCAATCATTTTGCATCTCTTAGCATGGCTGTGGTGAGTCCTGCGCCTGCAACACAAAGGATGGCTTCTGTGAGGTCACTTACTGATGATGGTGGAGAAATATTGGAGGAGCCTAATCCTATTGTGGTTGATGAGTCAATTTATGTTACTGCGGTAAAAGATGTGAAGGAAGGCAAATCAAATCTGATATGGGCAATCCAGAACTCTGGTGGAAGGAGGATTTGCATCATTTATGTTCTTGTGCCTGCAACAATGATCCCCATATGTGCGTATATACTATGTTTCCCTATGTGTGTTTATTGTTTGATACCTTAAATTGCTTGATTCTTTTGTGTGAAATTTTACACCAGCTAAACCGGCTCAACTTGAAGTCAATGTTTGGTATTTATGTCCTTGATGATCAGTGTTTTAGAAGTTAGCAGGTGATTTGAATTTAGAACCAAAGATGGCCCATTAGATAATCAGTCCAATTTTAGATTCTAGTTATAAGATTCATGTGTGGGTGTCCTTTAAATTTTAACTTTATGATGTCTTTGGGCAGCATCTGTCAAATTGATGATTTGATTTATTTGTTTATTGTTGTCATAGTTAATTTCAAGAAACAAATTTAGCCATAGTATACAGTAACTGTTGAAAATTCTATCTTTGCTGTGCTGTGTTTATCATTCATTCAATTTTCAGTTTCTGATAATGGTCTATAACTTTGATTTTTCATGTTTATAGTAGGAGCTAAATTCCATGTAAGTGCATTAAAAGAGCAGCAGGTTCGAGGATACCGGGAATTTGAAAGGAAAGAAATGCACGAGACTCTGGATGAATATCTTCGTATCTGTCACCGGATGGGGGTAACTGTTATAATTCTATATGCATATGTATTTATAATGTTCTTTGATTTTGCACTAATAACTTTCTGATACAGGTGCGAGCAGAAAAACTGCATATTGAAATGGATAACATCGAAAAAGGAATTTTAGAACTTATCTCCCAGCATAACATCCGAAGGCTTGTTATGGGAGCAGCTTCTGATAAGTACTATAAAAGGTAAGAAGCCAAATAAACCTTCCCCCCACCCCCCACGTTATTGTTTCTTCATTTTTACTGGAAATTCAATGATATTATAGAAGCATTGAAGATGCTATATTGGTATTTCATAAGGAATAAGATAAATAAGTTACCAGATCTGGGGAAACAATGCAAATAGTGCTACTTTTCTGTCCTGGGTTTGGAAATATTCAGTAAAGCATGATATAGGTTCTCTGTTTTCAATAACTAGTTAAATGACGTTCCTAGCTATGAAGCTGGAGCTATATCTTTCCCCTTTGATTCTTTCACCCCTAAGGTTGTTTTGGTTGCATGGAGCAATCGTAGTCCTTTCCCAATCCTCATCCACTTGTAATTTTGCAGAAACTGTGCTTTATTTCGTATGTTCTGATGATCAACTAATTTGTATCTCGAGAGCTTATCAATTTCTATTTCGTTTTTGGTGAAGTTGATATTATGCTTTCAATGATCTCACTCATATGACATCGCAGGAACATGATGGACCTCAGATCTAAGAAAGCCATCTATGTGTCTGAACATGCTCCAGCTTCTTGTCATATTCAGTTTATCTGCAAAGGGCGCCTTATAAATACAAGGTTACTAAGCCTCCTAAAATATTTATGGGTTTTGATATACATGGATATAGTATCAATTGAAAGATGTAATACATAAGAAGGAAGGTTTATAGTTGCCTAGGAATACCAAGCTCAATATGTAATAATTTCAAATAGCTTATTTCTTTATTTAACTGAAAACCTGTACGTTATTCTGCTGAAATTATCTCTGCCAATAGTTGTAACTTGTCATTGCTTTTGGTTTTTATTATTTGGGTACTGAATTACTGATGTGGGGACCATATTAAACCAGGAATCGCAGTTTGAATGAAGGTAATGTAGAGGTTGCATCTCCTCTGGTGCAGCAAGTGCCGAGATCTCAATCCATTACACTGGGGCAAAATCATGGGACAAATCTATCTAGTCCTGCTCAAGATTTATTTCGCAGAGTGAGGTCTGCCAATGATGGACATAGAGCAATCATTTCGGCTGCTTCTTCTCCAGAAGATTCTGAAGGGTTTTCAACTCCACGTGACAGGATGGGTACAGAAGTAAGTTCTGATGAATCAGATCGGCTTTCAAGGATGAGTCCTTCAGGCTTATCAACATGCTCTGACAGCGCAGTTGAGTCGGCATTGACCACAAGTTTGATCACTGAAAGGAGTGAGAGTGTAATAGACTTGACTTTGAGTCACCTGATTAAAGAGGATCTTCGACATTCATCTCCTCCTAGTGTACTGGTACACACACATGAAAAATGGTTTTTTTCTTTCAGTAATATTTGTGTCTGTTTTGGAGCATGTGCATATTTTTGCATGGTGACTTTTTGCAACTGATGAGAGACATTTTTATTTTCAAAATTTGCAATGACAAATGTTTTAACTCCCTAGCTTTATTCTGATGTTTTAAAATAATGTGATTGAACACTAGCAGGATGGTGTAATGAATGATACTATCTACGACCAGCTTGAACAGGCTATGGCTGAGGCTGAGAATGCTACACGAAATGCATATCAAGAAACAATTAGGCGTGGAAAAGCTGAAAAAGATGCCTTTGATGCTATACGCAAGGTAACTGTTCTGTTGTTGAGTGCTTCATATACTTCTTCGATGTGTAGATGATCATGTTTATGATATGAATAGTTAATTGTTTGTATCCAGTTTTCTAGTTTAAATTCTTCTAAGGGGGAAAGTTTTACCCAAAGAGTGAAACAAGAGAGGAGGATGTATAAACCGACCTTAACCAATGTGAAAGATTATATGAATGAATAAATAAGGATCATTCTAGGTTATTTAGTCTTTGTCATGTGCTGATACGGCAGCTTGATGCTCCGTCTAATCCTTTTCAATATTTTGACCACCCAATTGACAGGCCAAAGCTTCTGAAAGCTTATATACAGAGGAGTTGAACCTGAGGAAAATGGCAGAGGAAGAACTTAAAAAAGAAAAAGAAGAAGTTGAGAATATGAAGAGACAGAGAGATAAGGTTAAGGAAGAACTCCAACTTGCCCTTGATCAGAAGGCATCACTAGAGAGTCAAATTGCATCATCTGAACTTATGATAAAGGAGTTGGAGCAGAAGATTATATCTGCTGTGGATCTTTTACAGAGCTACAAGAATGAACGAGAGGAATTGCAGGTGCAGCGTGATAATGCATTGAGAGAGGCTGAAGAGTTGAGAAAATTACAAGGAGAGGCCTCAAGCACACATGTGCCTCAACTGTTCTCAGAATTCTCTTTTACGGAGATTAAAGAAGCAACAAATAACTTCAATTCATCCTTAAAGATCGGAGAGGGAGGATATGGAAGTATATTTAAAGGTGTCCTACGTCACACTGAGGTGGCTATAAAAATGTTGCACTCCAACAGTATGCAAGGACCCTCAGAGTTTCAGCAAGAGGTAGGATGGTTTGACTTTAGTGTGATAGTTTAAACATCTCTTATTTTGATCAACAATAATATTTTTGGCATGTAGGATTCAGTGATGACCAAGTTGTTTGATGTCCAAGAATAAAATGAATTTGGCCTTGACTGATCTTGCTTGTATCTTGCATATTGAATTCTAAATAATCAAATTCAATAAAAAATAAAACTGACAAGAATTGGCAGGAAAATTTTCCAAGTTTCTTTACTTCTAAAATCCAAACTTCGGTGCTTTATAGTTTTGTAAGATTTGTGTTTGTGGGGCCTTAGTATAATCAACCTTGTCTCAAAAGCACTAAAATGAAGAGAAAAAGGATTCATATTTATAATAGTGAAAAGGATATTTATGCTGACCCCATTTTATGGTTTTATATCAGGTTGATGTATTGAGCAAGCTAAGGCATCCCAATCTTATCACACTTATAGGAGCCTGCCCTGAGTCCTGGACTCTTGTCTATGAGTATTTACCAAATGGAAGCCTTGAAGACCGTCTTTCCTGCAAAGATAACACCCCTCCATTATCATGGCAAATTCGAATTCGCATTTCTGCTGAACTATGTTCTGCTCTCATCTTTCTCCATTCCAGTAAACCTCACAGCATAGTGCACGGTGACTTAAAACCCTCCAACATTCTCCTTGACGCAAATCTTATTAGCAAACTTAGTGACTTTGGAATCTGCCGTATATTATCTCATTGCGAGAGTTCTATTAATAATACTACACAGTTTTGGAGAACTGATCCAAAGGGAACTTTTGCCTACATGGATCCTGAATTCCTTGCCTCAGGGGAACTTACCCCAAAGTCAGATGTTTATTCATTTGGAATCATATTATTAAGATTGTTGACTGGGAGACCAGCCTTGGGAATCACAAAGGAAGTGAAATATGCATTAGATAGTGGAAAGTTGAAATCCCTATTGGACCCTTTGGCTGGAGACTGGCCATTTGTGCAGGCTGAACAGTTGGCTCGCTTGGCTTTGAGGTGTTGTGAGATGAACAGAAAGAGCCGGCCGGATCTATATTCAGATGTCTGGAGGATTCTTGATGCGATGAGGGCTTCTTCTGGAGGCACAAACTCCTTTGGACTATGTTCTGAAGGCCTTCTCCAACCTCCTTCATATTTCATTTGTCCAATCTTCCAGGTAACTAGTTTTGTCTGCCATTGTTTTTGAGTTTCAGCTCATTTAAAATTTTATGTCCTCATGCTGAATCTCGATTCCAATGAACACTTGTCTAAGCAAGTGAAACTCATCCTTATTCTCACACCGCATTTCAAAGTTGATCAAAGTTTCATACTTGCGTGTTCTTATTGTGCTTTTTTACCCCCTAATTAAATTTTATTCAATATCTTTATTTTCTTCACTTGAGGGAAAGCCTTACTGCAATGGTAAGGTGGTTGCATTGTGGTTTGAAAGTCATAAGTTCAAATGCTGGAACCAGCCTCTCTGCTTTGGCAATGAGGCTGTGACTACATGTACCCTCTCTAGACTCCTCCTGCATAGTGCTCTAAAGTTGCCCTTTTTGTATCTTTATTTTCTTTACTTGTAAAATATTTCCTGAATCAGTGGAATGACGTGGCTTTGAAAATAAAACTGCTATCTAAGAAAATTTGCCCTGGTTATGTTCCTACTTCACAGGAAGTCATGCGAGAACCGCATGTAGCTGCAGATGGTTTTACTTATGAAGCTGAGGCCATACGAGGATGGCTTGATAGCGGTCATGACACTTCGCCAATGACAAATGGTAAGCTTGTACATCACAATCTTGTCCCTAACCGCGCTCTTCGCTCTGCAATCCAGGACTGGCTTCAAAGTCACTGATCAAGCCTTTTTTCTGTCCATCTTGATTGAACTGTATATCTACTGTTAATAGCGTATCTAAGAAAGAAAGTTGTCATTACATTTTATTACCTTCCATCAGTTTTGTTTCTTGTAGTTCTTTGATCAGATTTTATTCCTATCCTCTTGAATAGTACATATATAAGCACATCACATATGTCATAACAGTTTTTTTGTGTGATTATCTTTCATTTCTGGTAAATTTTATGTTATTATCTCTAGCATTAGGCAATGTTTGAGTGCTGAGAAGATTTATACAAATTTGATGGCACCACCAATGTATATATTCAATGAGAATCTCAACAAGCCAGTAATGTAGTTCTTTCCTGTGTTGTGACTTATCTGAAGCAAATAGCAACTAGTGTTTTTTCTTCTTTTGGGTCAACAGCAAGAAGAGTTTAAATTGAGCTTATTTGTGTGTACGAAAGTGACTCGTAATCTGATTAATAATTTTCTTTTGACTTTCAATGAACTCCATAGTGAAGTTTATTAAAAACTCAGTCCAATCAAGCTTATGATACAAGTTCTTTGTTTATATGTTCAGCAAATAGAAGCTTATTTAAACAATTTATCAATATGCACCCTAAATCCATTAGAACATAAACGGTCGCCTCCAAAAGAAACAAAAATAGGTAAATGAAAAGGATGGAAAACTCTAATTTACACATTTTGTTTCACTATTCCCACACACATTTAGCATGTATTGAACCAATCTCAGATATTTCTATTTTCTACACAAAGTGTACACACTCAAACTAATTTACTAGTTCTAAAAAAATGCTTATACTTGATTCCACTTAAAATCAACTAGTTCAATTATGGCTCTGGGTTTGTGCATTGTAAACTGTTAAAGCCATTAATGTCCAAACCTACTAGGTAGCTTTAATCACTTATTGAAATCTTTTAATCAACATTTTCAGTATGTTTGGGTTTTCATCATTAATTTTTTTTAACCATATGCTTACTTGTTTAAAATTTAGGAATTTTTAGATAAATTGTTTTTCTTTTATCTTTATGAATCATTGAAAGGCAATTATTCAATCCATGAGATGATGTCATATGAAAAGATATAACTAATTTCAGGTGCAGCTTCAGTTGTGAAGCATCTGGGATTGAATCAATAACAAAATAGTCAAGTTTTTTCAACATATACCGAAAGGGACTACGTGTAAGTTGTTAATTGAAAAACAAGGTTGGCTTCAACCAATTGCACTTGAAAACGGTGCATGATCATGCAAATTAGTTCTGAATAAATTAAAGAAACATATTTACGGATATTTGTGGATAATCCAATTTGATTCTCATTATCATGGTTAGAGCTTTATGACCTTGGTAAAAAAAATGAAAATGAAAAAAGAAAGTGAATATATAAAGACGCAATGTGAGATAGATCAAACTCCCAACCTGAACGATAAAGAGAAAAAGAGATATACAATATTCTTTTATCTTGCTAATTGGGCTTTGTAGTTCTTCTTACATGGCCCATTGCCACTTTGGACATGTGGAGGCTTCTTTATAAAACTACGGTTTAAGAAAGAAAAAAAAGTACGATGGAAAAACAATAAATGGCTGCCGAGGTAGGTAGATATAGTTTTTACCTAGCTATTTGAGATAAGCCAGAAGAAAGGGAGAATGAAGTTAGGAACAATTTTCATCAGAAAAAAGTTAATATGAAAAATAAATTAAAATTTTCTAACAAGTTAGAAATAATTTATATTTTTAGAAGTTTTTCGTTTAACCTTTTGAAAATTTTGAAAGAATAAATTATTCGTAAAATTTTATTCATTTTTTCTTGTAAACTTCTATAGGAGTTTACTCCAACTTGACCATTAATTAGCAATTGACTAAAAGAACTTGCATACAAGTCATTCGGAAGAAAAATCAATAAATGGATTTATAAAAAGGAGTGTAGAAGTAGGAGGAACATGTTTGAATTTGGAGAGAGAGGACAACATTGAATCATATTAGAAGACAACCAGCGAAAAACACAAATTCTTCGAGAAATAGCTAGGATCCCAATGTTGATAGCCTTTGAATGACTATTTTTTCAGAAATATTTGAACATAAGAATTTTAAAAGGATACCCTATTCGTCGAGAAATTTACCATCACGATGAAAAAGTTTAAGCACTTTTGGGACTTGAAGTTTTAATCATGGTGGCCAAGGTATAAGGCAAATCGTAATTCACGTGCAAGTTTCTTAATAGTACAAGCTAATGTTAATCAATCTCATATAAAAGATTCTCACATAACCCATTGAATAATACTAATCAGTATTTATTTATTTTTCTTTTTCACTGTTAATGGTCCACCATGAACATGATATGTAAGTTACTAGGTTAGATAGAGAACTGAATATTCCGAGGCACATACTATATTTTTCTTTCCATAAAAACCATTAGAATATATTGACACAGCTCTAAAATAATGGTTCCACTAGTTCGTTGGGATCAACAGTAGAAAAAAGTTATGGCAGTTATCAACTACCATAGTTTCCAATATATATATAATATTGAAAGTGGTAGATTAGACTATTTGATTGATTGAATCTTCTTTTTCAATAAGTAATAATATATTAAGGGGTTCGATTGTGCTGTGTTTTCCCAACATTCTGACGCGATCAGAAAGAAGAATCCAACATAGAATATCCCTAAAAGCTGCATCTGTTCTTGAGCATAAAGAAATTAAATATGTGTTTGATTGATATTTTATTTTATCAAACTTATATTATATTCATTTATATCCTCATCATATAATAAAGGTGCAGTGAGATGTCCCCCTTGACCGCAAGAAGTTTTGATCTTGAAAAGCTCCTAGTGCCTAATTGTTTAAAGTCACATTCATGTAAAATTTTAACTTATATACTTTACTAAGTTGTTTTTATCAAATAAAGGTAAAGTAACTTTGTATTTCAAATTTTGGTTACATTCTCTCTTCCCACCATTTCAATTAAGTTACTATTTTTTAATAATTATCGTATATTACTTTTAGTGAAATAATATATGTTAGCATTAGAAATTTTATAAAAATAAATATTTTTTTTCTAATCAACGAAGCTAAAAGTCCACAATTTACATTTAATTTTAGTTGACTAGAGTTTGGAGGAATTCATTTTACTTAAATTTGTCATTAGCAATCTTAGAAAAGTTTTTAAAGTTATTCTTCCAACAAAAATTAAAAAAACTCAAAATCACATAGAGTTTTGAGGACCTAAATTTTGGCTCAAATGTAAGAGTTTTGAAAATAAAATCATTTCTATCTTTTTAAATTTATCAAACAATAACATCAAACAATCTATTCTAATAATGAATTTTGCTAAAAGTAAGACAAGAAAGGTTTAAAACCAACCAATTCATATGACCAATACTAAAAAAAAAACTCAATAATTGGATAAAATAAAATAATTCTGAATATATCTAGTATAAAAACAATCACAAAGTATATGCATAGTAGTTTGAGGCGTTTCACTGTATCTATAGTAGTTTGAGGCGCTTCACTATATCTATAACAAGTAGAGTGATCTGATACCCCTCTCCTAAGTTTTTTTTTCATTAGTTAACAACATATCATGGAAACTTTCTATAGAAATATATTAATCTTAAGGAGACCTCCCCACTTATAGATCAATTTAAAAACATCTTGTAAGGATTAGTAGAAAGGCAAGATTTAGCAATAAGTTGATAGGCAATTTTAATGAAAAAGATCTCATTATTAGTAAAATTCTAGTATAACAAGTTCTGACCCCGAAATAAGGGAGTTAATTTGAGCAATATAGTTACAAATCTTTTTAGGAAGTAGAGGTTTAATCTTATTCAAATTTCAAATTCCCATAAAAGAAAATAGGGTCATAGGAAAGTCTAAATCCAAATTAGGCACTAGATGAACAACAAATCTACACATATTCCCAATATGAGAAACTCAATTATCAACCCAAAATTTAATGATTAAATCATCTTTCATAAGTTAGCTTAACCCTTAAGAGAATAAAGGTAGACTATTCTAAAAGAAAGAAGATTGTTGACCATTATCAATATTAGGAGTTATAACATATAGTAAACCTATATTTATTTTTAACGACCAAGAAGTCATTGAGAGAAGTTATTAATTTCCAACACAACTTCATTAAGTAAGTCTTAGTAAGCATATGAAGGTCTTTAAAACTAAAACCCCGTCCATTTTAGGTTTGTAGATTTTCTATTATCCAATTAGATGATATTTTCTATTTCCTAAAGAAGCTTAAATAAAATTTTACTTTTCAATATAGAAAAAGAATGCAGTAATTCTTGAGGACAATTGAGTTAATCAATACCTATCTATTGAAAATAAAAATACTTTTATTGGTAAAAATGAGATGGGATAAAAAGTCTCTAAGTCTATTAACTATTAATTTAATAATAATTTTGTAACTAATCTTATAAAATAATATTAATCTAAAATTTGATAATAGACTCATAATTCTTAAAATACTAGTTTCATTAACTTCATAAATAAAAAAAAATTTTTTAAAATATATCTGAAATAAATTTAAATATAAAAGAAATAAAGAAATTCTACAAAATTTTCAAAATAGAGCATAAGTCTAATAGACTTTACAACTTAACTACAAAGTAATTGATATAAATAAATTCAAATGATTTATTATTTAAAACACTTTTAATATACACTTTATTTAGTTTATAAAAAAATTATCAATCTATTTAAGATGTATAAATTTATTGCTATAAATTTCAAAAATTTTAAGAAAATGAAGCGCGTGCTGCTTTAAATTTATTTGGAGTGGATATGAATATAGAATTTAATCAAATATTCCTTTAATTATTTTTTATATGAGAGTTTATGTTATAAATTTGAACGTAAAATTTATTAAGAAAATTTTTAAAACATTTAGTTTTATAAATTATAATAAAAATTTATTAAAATTGACTAAAAATTTACGAAAGTTATAAATTAATTTTATAAGCTGTCTGTTAACTTTTTTTTAAAATACTATCTTGATTAAACGTGCTGACCATGATTTTGGAGATCATTTATATTTGTCATTTTGTTATGAAAAAGTAAAACTTTAATTAAAATTGTGTTTATAAAAATAAACAGGTATTTTTAAAATACAAATAGAAAAAAGTAATTTAAGTTTGTTTCAAATAAATTTAAATTCCAAAAAACTTATTCAACGACACACTTAATCAATTAACCTAATTACTTAAACAAAAATATATTTTCAACTGAATTAGTTTGTCATTTTCTTCAATCTTAGGCTAAAAAGAAATTTAAAAAAAAAATAAATAAAAAACCTTGTTGGACCAGAGATTGAATTCACGAAGTGATGAATATATTGAGTGCCCAATATGGTCGACCTCTGGCTAGAATTTCGCAACTATTTTACTCCCTCATGCTTATCTTTTTATAAATAAATAAATAATTATTAAGACTAATAACAAATTATTACATATCACAAATTTATAACACATTTTTAAAATATTTATAATAATAAATAGTGAAATTT